CTTGAACTCCTTGATATCAGTTCCCTTTATCCCCTCCCTCCCACCCCTACTTCCCCCACCAGGAACCCTTATTTATATGTATTTGTTTTGCACCATCCAGTATATTCGTTTACATACAATTCTGTTGTTTGCTCCTCTCGAGTGGAGTTATCCATAAGACTGTAACTTTTCATGGGACTAGAAACCCTCATCTTTTCCCCAGAGAGTGACTGGTGGTTTCAAATGGCTGACATGGTTATGGGCCCAATTCTTAACCCACTATACCAGTGATTCCCAACCTTCCTAATGTCGCGCCCCTATAATACAGTTCCTCATGTTGTGGTGACCCCCAACTATAAAATTATTTTTGTTGCTACTTCATCTCTGTAATTTTACTACTGTTATGAATCGGGCCACCTCTGTGAAAGGGTCTTCGACCCCCACCCCCCAAGGGGTTGCAACCCAAAGGTTGAAGCCGCTGATGTATGTGATAGGGTTTATTATTCAAAATATAACGAAGAACTCCAATTGCTTAATAGAAAAACGAACTAACCTAATTGGAAAATGGGCAAAGGACTTGAATAAAAATCTCACCACTTTATACAGATGATCAATAAGCACATGAAAAGATGTCCGATGTTGTTAGACTTTAAAAACTAAGCCTGTTGCAGTCTTTTGATTCAGAATTATGATATGTTGCTGTGCAAACAATGCAGACTAACAGAGACCTCATAGGACAGTGCAGCACTGCCCCATCGTGTTTCCAAAGCTTCATCTTTCTCTGGTGGAACTGCTTGCTGGTGGCTTCAAACCTCCAAGCCCTTCACCACTAAGCAACCAGGGACCCTTCAGCAGTCATCAGGGAGATGCAACCCAAAATCTCAGTGAGATGACACCTCATTCACATAAAAAAAACTATTTAAGCTGTTTTTTTTTGTTTTTTTTTTGAAAATAGCAGGTTGGTGAGGATGTGGAGCAGCAGCACAAGCCCTCATGATGTGCTGGAGGGAATGTCAAATGGGGCAGCGCCGCCGCCATGGAAAACAGGCCAGCCGTTCTTGCAAAAGTTAAATATAGAACTCTCACATAGCCCAGTCACCCCACTCCTAGATATTCACCAGATAGATTTAAGAGCTGGGCCTTCAGGGGATGTGGGTACATCAGTGTTCATTGCAGCATTATTCACAAGTTCCAAAAACGTACACACAGCTCAATGTCCATCCACAGA